GCTCACAGCAGGGTGGTGGTGCTGAGCTGCAGCCAAAGGCACCAACACGGAGCGAGGGCTCTGCACGTAGCAGGGAACAGCAGCTCCCAGTTTTTGCTGTGATTTTGGGAAGGGATAGGAGGAAAGGAATGGGATTTTCATCGGGGCTAAGCAGGTAAAACCAAGCTGGCTGCCACATGGACACCTTCAGGCAGCAGGAGCCATTCCTATTCCAGATGGTGTCCACAGGGGCTCTGCAGTTTGCTCCGAAGGGAAAAACATCCCTGACCCTTTTTGGGGAGTTTTAGTGAGCTGTGAGCTTTCTAAACAAGACAGAAATMATCTGAAACCAGGCTGGGGCTGGTCCCTACCTCCAGCAGCTGGGCAGCACTGGGCCGGCTCTCCGGGTTCTTGTCCAGAGCCTTCTTCAGGAAATCTCTGAACTCCAGGGACCTTAAAACACAGTGGGTGATGAGAAATTCAGGAGAGGGAATGGCATCCAGTGGCACAGGGGTCTGCTTGGTCCCTCAGCAGGGTGTGTCCCACCTTCCAACCCGCCACAATTCAGCATTTTGCTCCCGTAAGAAACCCTGTGCTCAGTTATCCTGATTGTTTGGAAGAGAAGCAGCAGGGAGCAGGTTTTGTGATGGCAACAGAAGGTGGGGACTGAGCCCAGCCCCTGTGCCCCAGGGAAAGGCAGAGAAGGGGAGGGGACAGTGGGTACCCCCAAAAGGAGCCCATGGCAGGAGCAGCTTGGAGACAAAGAGCCATCCCCACAGCCCCAGTGGGACAGGGTGGCTGTGAAGGAGCAGAAACCCCATAGGAGGGCACCCTCAGCCTGCAGAGTGCAGCTCAGAGCTCCAGAGCGTGTCCCCRATGTCACCTCTGGCTCCTGAGCAGCTCCAGAGGCAGCATTTCCATCTTTTGGCTGCTGTCCCAACCACTGCTGGGACAACGCTGGTGCCTCCAGTGCTCTGCCAGCAATTTGCTGGTTTCGTGATTTGTTTTGTGCAGCAGGTTTTACAAATAAATAAATAAATCATTAAATAATTAAATAAATAGATAAATAAATAAATAGATAGATAAATAAGAACTGGCTGGTTTGCCTTTAAATTGGAAGAATTGGCTTTCCAGGCTTCAGAGAAAGCAGTTCTGGAGCTCTTGGCATCTCCAGMTTTGGAGAAAAATCTGCCTTTCACACACATGGGATGTTTTGAGAACAGCCAAGGGGTCACCCCTGGTTTTGCGGGGTGTGGAGCAGCTCTGCCTGTGCAGCCTGAGCTCTGTCATCCCGCATCAGCCATCCCCCTGCACACAGCTGGAACAGCTAAAATCCCCCACCGGGCCCCCAAATTAAACAGAACCTCTAAAAGCGGCTGGTTTATCTCCGTGTGAGAGCCGGGAAAGTCTCCCTGCCCTGCCCCTCACCCCCTCACCATTTGCTGGGGCAGCTGAGCGTGGGGGGCTCGGCTTTGGCGATCTTCAGCAGGACCCTCATGGGGTTRAGCTCGTGGTGCGGCGGCTCCATCTGCGCCATCTCGATCAGCGTGATGCCCAGAGACCAGATGTCAGCCTTGTAGTCGTAGGGAGTGTCCTTCATGGTCTCACACATCACCACCTCCGGGGCCATCCTGCCAGGGCACGGTGGGGTGGGGTGACACCGCTGTCACAGCCCCGCGGCGCCCATTGAACATCAATCACAGCTTCACATCGCCCACAGCGCGGCACGAAACTCAGATTTCCCACCCCAGCTCGGGGGTTGGGAAGCAGCAGCATCTTTTCCATGGGTCCAACCCCCTCCCTGCTCCACAGAGAGCAGAGGCAGCCCCCGGAACGCCCTGGGGTCGCTGACATCTGGAGCGGATGTCGCTTCAGAGCAGCAATTAATCCACGCCTTCAGCAAGAAGGGTGATTTAGAGGGTGTGCTTTGGGGGCAGGGACACATTCCCGTGTGCCTGGAGCAGCCCCAAAGCCCATCCCATCCCCAGGGATGTGTGTCCCTCGCTCGGAGACCCTCAGGGTGCTGTGACACCACACAGAGCTCCCACACCACCAGGCTGCTCTGGCTGGGCAAGAAAAACCCTTGGATGTGCAGAAAACAGCCAAGAATCCTCCCAAAAACCCTCCCACCCCGAGACACCGCATTCCCACTCACCCCAAAGCCATCAGACCCCAATTCAGAGCAAACCCCATTTTGGGGTGCAAAGCTCCCGTGACCTCAGGGTCCCTCAGAACACAGGGACTCACCAGTATGGGGTCCCGATGAAGGAATCCCGCTTCTGCAAGGTTTTCAAGTTTTTGGCAGACACCCCAAAGTCAGCTGCAAAGAGCAGTAAATGTTAGAGGCCAGAGGAAAACTGAAAAACCCTCGTGAGCGAGCACACTTGGCCGAGACACAGCCTGGAAAGCAAACACACGCTGGAGGCCAGAGCACGAGAGCAGGGGCTGTGTGCTCCCAGATGGGAACTAAATGTGGTTTGGGGTACATGAATTAAATTGTACGTGAATTGGGGTACTGGGAATTAAATGTGGTTTGGGGTACGTGAATTAAATTGTATGTGAATTGGGGTACTGGGAATTAAACGTGGTTTGGGGTACATGAATTAAATTGTACATGAATTGGGGTACTGGGAATTAAACATGGTTTGGGGTACGTGAATTAAATTGTACATGAATTGGGGTACTGGGAATTAAATGTGGTTTGGGGTACATGAATTAAATTGTATGTGAATTGGGGTATTGGGAATTAAGTGTGGTTTGGGGTACATTAATTAAATTGTACGTGAATTGGGAATTAAATGTGATTTTGGGTATGTGAATTTGGGGTACGTGACCCCCAGGGCTTCCCCCTGCCATGCCCTACAAGGCAGGGCCATAAGGGGTTTTCTTCCCAAACCCTGCACATCTAAGAGGATGATTTTTTTTCTGCAAACAAAAGCAGCTCCGTGGCAGATTTCAGGGCTGTAATTTCCTAGCAAAAAAGCCTGATTTTACAGCAGAAAAACCCCAAAGTGCTGTTACATCACTTCTGTCCCCCCCAGCCACTGCGAGGTGCCTCCCCCTGATTTTGTCCCTTGTGCAGAGAGCAGCTGAAGGCCACCCACATTAAACTGAGGGGACTGAGCCTTTCCAGGTGGGTTTGGTGTCCAGGACAGCCCTGGTGGCAGCTGGAGGAGCTGTCACCCACCTGCAGCCCTGCCTGAGGGGCACCCCCTGAGCTGTTCCTGCAGAAAATCCACCCTCTGCTCCCCCAGCAGATCCCTGGGTGCTGATTTCACTCGAAGCAGAGCGAGCTGGCAGAGCACAGTGCCCCTGTCACCACCAAACCTGCAGTGCAGATAAGAGGAATTCTCGCAGCTGCCAGCTCTGCCAACTGGCACCCCGCACAGGATGCTCAGCGGGCCAAAATGCACAGAGAGCGGGTTCAGGGAGGGATTAAACAAACTCAGGCAACAAAAAAAAACCACCCAGGGCCTGAGTGTGGCTGTGGTTTGGGGGCTCAGCACAGCCACAGATCCCTCTGCCCTTCCACGGAGCAAAATCTGCCCCTCCCTGCCCTGCTGCAGCCCTCATGCAAAATCCCCAAAACATCCCCAAATCGCCAAAACTCAGCTCCAGTGTCCTGGAGGAACAGCTCCAGGGGCAGGAATGGCTCCTGCCCTGCTCCTCACCGAGCTTGATGTCCCCATCCTGGGTGAGGAGCACGTTGCCAGCCTTCAGGTCCCTGTGGATGATGCGTTTGCTGTGCAGGTAGTGCAGAGCTTCCAGCATCTGGCGGCAGATCACACGGATTTGGGGCTCTGTCAGCCCCCGGTCCAGCTCTGCAGGGAGGGATGGGGTGTCAGACAGGACAGGGACACAGGGATGGACAGCACAGGGACACAGGGATGCTCCCCTGAACAGCAGGAACGACCAGGGCACCCAGCAGAGCCCTGCAGAGCCACTGGCCCGGGCTCAGAGGAGCAGGAGGCGATGGAAATCAGCTCGTTAAGGTGATTTATTCCCTAAAGCAGCACTTGCAGCAGAATCCCCAGCTCTTGGAGCTGCTGGCTCGTAGCTCCCTGCTGGGAATGCAGAGCTGGGGCCCTGGAGCAGCAGAGGAGGGGAGCCAGGCATGGGATGGGGTCTGAACTGCACATCCCCTGACAATTTGAGCAGGATGACAAACTGGGTGGGAGAGAGGAGCTGGGCTGGGCTGCAGGACAGCAGGGTGCTCCTGAACCAGCAGCTGYTCTCAGTGCCCAGGAACACGGGGATCAGGGAGTTATCCCTGCCTGGGGATGCAGAGTGCCCCTGACCAGCCCGAGGGACACAGCCCTTCCCAAAGGAACAGGGCTGTCCCCCTCCCTGCCCTGAGCTGGGCTTTGGGCAGCACAACCCATGCTCTGAGTGCCCCAGGGTTCAGGGAGGGTTTGCACACTCCCAGGCACATGATGGGAATCCTGGGGCTGTCCTCTGTGGGGTCAGGTGTGGGATTTTGAGGGTCCCTCCCAGCTAGGCATTTTTGTCACACTTTGCTTTGGACCCGCTTTAAAGAAGTTCCCTAAAAGAGGAAAAAGGTTTAAGAAGGGCTGAGTCCAAGATGTAAAATTTGGTTCCTGGAAATTTAAAGAGAGCCAGGACTTTGGAAAGATCGGGGCTGACAGGGAACAACGCCCGTGGCTGTGTCCCAGCGAGGGGAGCCCAGAGCATCCAATATTCTGTGCACAGGGGGTGTCACAACCCAAGGGTGACACACAGAGGGGCTGTTTGGGGTGCAGCCACCCCTCCCTGCACCCAGCAGCTCTCCCTGCATGGAAGGGAGGAGTTAAAAAAGGGCAGATTCCAGGGATTGCTGCAAAGGGCAGCTCATGAGCTCTGCTGCCTCGCCAGATGACMGACCCCATCCGGAGCCATCAGCAGAGAGATCTGGGGAGATTCATCACTGCAGGCACCCAGCTTGAACAGCTCAGCCCTGCTGCCCTTCCCGGGGAGCTGTGGGAACAGCAGCCCGTGCACCCAGCAGATAAATATTGAAATTCTGCTTTCCCCCGCAGCCAGACTCTCCCTCCTCCCTGTCCCTGCTGATTCCAGCAGCTCTGAAATCACCAAAGGACATTAGAGCAGCTCCAAAACCGCCCCAGGGTGTGAGAATAGGCAAACTCCTGGAAGGGAAGGGGCAGCTGTGGCACAAATCCGTCTGAGGATGCACTCGGAGCCGTGCCAGGAGGGTGGAAATGCCCCTGGGCATCGCCTGGGCACGGGCAGGGCTGCACTCACCCAGCATGGTGGCACTCACCCAGCATGGTGGCATCCACGGCCCCGCCCTGGCAGAACTCGATCATGATCTGGGGGAACAAAGGGACAGGGTTAAAGCCGGGCTTTGGCGGGGACAAAAGCTGCGTTTGCCTCCCCGCATGGCAGAGCTGCCCCCGCACCTCCCCAGAACACATCCCTGGGGCACCCCGAGGATCCCCCCGGCCCCGGGCTCTGATCCCACGCTCTGTCCCCTCCCCCGGGTGGCTGTGACCCCCCAGCAGCCCCCCGGAGCCGCGGTCCCTGCGCTGCCATCCCGTCCCTGTGCCTCGCATCGCTGTCATAGCTGCGAGCTGACGTGGCCGGCAGGGTTCACTCTGCCAGATGAGGACGGGGAGGGCTCTTCATGTCTTTAGGGTGTTTTGGGTAACTATTTTTATTTCCCCGCATCGCTCTGTAGTTCATTGCTCTCTTATTTTGAGCGATAACTCTGTCAGTGACGAGGCTGAGCGCATTCCCCASGCTTTGCCATTTCTCCCCAGGGATGTGCAGAGCCCCGCCAGGCCCACACATCTCCTTCCCTGATCCGTGTCATCCCTCCCGGCTGTCTCCAGCACCCCGGGGATGCAGATCCTGTCCCCACTGTCCCCAGGGATGCAGATCCTGTCCCCAGCACCCCGGGGATGCAGATCCTGTCCCCATCACCCCGGGGATGCAGATCCTGTCCCCATCAGCCCGGGGATGCAGATCCTGTCCCCAACACTCCAGGGATGCAGATCCTGTCCCCACTGTCCCCAGGGTGCAGATCCTGTCCCCATCAGCCCGGGGATGCAGGTCCTGTCCCCATCAGCCCGGGGATGCAGGTCCTGTCCCCAACACTCCAGGGATGCAGATCCTGTCCCCAACACTCCGGGGACGCAGATCCTGTCCCCAACACTCCGGGGATGCAGATCCTGTCCCCACTGTCCCCGGGGTGCAGGTCTTGTCCCCAGCACCCCGAGGATGCAGATCCTGTCCCGGCTATTCCCAGCACCCTGGGGATGCAGATCCTGTCCCCAACACTCCGGGGATGCAGATCCTGTCCCCAGCACCCCGGGGATGCAGATCCTGTCCCCGCTGTCCCCGGGGTGCAGATCCTGTCCCCAGCACCCCGGGGATGCAGATTCTCCCCCCTCACCTCCACCCAGCCGCACCGGAGCCGCCCCGGTGCCGGCCCCAGTTCCCCGCTCGCCGCCGGGGCCGCTCAGATAAACTGATTACAGCTCCGAGCAGCAGGGATTGCGAGGGACAAGAGATGCTTCACCTCTGCAGCGAGCTCTCGTCCTCGCCGAGGTGACACGGGGCAGCATTCCGGAGTGCTGAAATGCCAGAGTTGACTCCGAGGACAGAGCCCGAGCACTGTTTACCAGCTCGGCTCTCTAAACCCATCCAGGGGAGGTCACATTCACCCAGAGCAGCTCCAGGAGCTGAGGGGAGAAGGCTCCAGCTCCCTTTCCCCCTTGGTTTAATTCTGCAGCTCCAGGAAAGCCACAGGGCACCTTCCAGCTCCTCTGCAAGGGAAATGTTGTCCCTGGATCCCTGGCAGTGTCCCAGGCCAGGCTGGACAGGGCTTGGAGCACCCTGGGGGACATGTGCTGTGTCCTGGGGGAGAAGGGGCAGCAGGGGCTCGGGCTGGGGTGCAGCAAACCTGGAATTGCTGGGTGGGAACCAGGCCCAAGGAGTCCCAGAGGGGACAGGCAGAGGTGACAAACCCAGGCAGGTGTGACAGAGGTGCCATCGGGGAAGAGTGAGCAGGAGCCAGAGCTGGGGGAGAGTTTGGGGCAGGCAGGGGTGAGGAGCAGTTGGGAAGGCAAAGGAACCGTTCCCAAAGTGGGAGAGGCCGTGCCCAGCTGGCACAGAGCAGGAGCAGCCTGGCAGGATGGATGGGGCCACCCATGGTACACAGAAACATCTTTCTGTTGCTCAGTACCTTGAACCAGAGCATCAGCAGCTCCAGCAGCAGCTGGAAAGGCAGAAATTGCCTCCTGCCATGGTCCCCCTGGGCTCAGAACTGCCCTGTGCCCCATGCCCACCCCAAACAGCTCCAGGAGGCTCAGTTCAACCCATTCTTCTTGTGGTGCTGCTCGTCACGCTCATCAGAGCAGACTAAAACCACCAGAGGCCACCTAAGAGCAAACCTCACAAAATCCCATTATTCCATTCAGGTTTGCAGTCTGGCAATGAGAAAAGGAGGGGAGTCAGTCCCTCTGAGCCAGCGTGACCCTGTGTGTTCATCCAGACTGCAAATGGGCACTGAGAACATGGAAAACACAGAAAACTTCAAAATACTCGTTTTCAACAAGGGCAGAGGTGCCAGGGAATAATTATGGGTGTGGCCAGCTGTTCGGAACAGCTAAAAAAATAACGAGCTGGTTTCAGCCCAGAAAATGCGATTTAAACAAACCCAACTGGCAGTGTCACAGATCACACTCAGAGCACATTTCCTGCCAGGAGCAGCGCCAGCCTGGAGAGCGCTTTGAGGGAGGCAGCACCAGTGACACCAGTGCTGGGTGTGAGCTGGGAGAACCCACACCTCCTCCTCTCCTCCTCTTCCTCCCTCTGCTCGGGGTCCAGCGCCCTGTGGGGTGTGCAGGGAGCAGCCTGGAGTGGGGCTGCAGCAAACATCCTGTTTATAACCATTTCCTCTGCGCGAAAAACGCAGGCACTTCCTCAGCGAGGGCTGCTGGGGGAGCGCAGGGTTCCTGTGCTGCATCAAAGCTGCGACAAACGCCGGGGATCGCACAGCGTCAACA